TGTGTGGCCACTTTAAGGTCATCGCCTCTTTTCCATGATGTAGAGATAATCATTCATGAATGGACTCTTAGTACACTTCTACTGCACTGATTGAATTGAAACTTATTACATATAGCAAATTATATAATAAGATAATATTATGGTGACCCTGATGCTGCAGCCAAGATAATCTGCAGATTAGGATTACTCTTCCACAACTAACAGCAGATATATTTACATAAAGTGATTTAGATGAGAGAGTACTCTTATAACTAGAATTAATTTGTTTACAAATTCAAAGGAAATGTGTAAGCAAAATTTGTTTATTTATACTCATACTAAACAATACAATCATCAATATAAAACGTAAGGTTTTTCGTCTTATTTAAAATTTTCTGTTCTAATACAAAATGTTTCTGATTTTATTTATGACTATCTCATGTATGACGGTAATTAATCCAATAAAACATCCAAACCCAAATATTTATCAGTCTTTTATGTCAAAACGACGTAAGTCGAGCGTATTACTATGTAGTAATACAGTCTGAACAGAGTGCAATAAACATTAAATTAAAAAACACTCGACATAATATATTAGGCCAGCGTGGAGGGTCATGGCCCATCCTCCTTAACCATCTACAAGGAAGGCTTGGGCCCGTGCAATGGGGACGTAAAGGGGCTGGTAATGATGATGATGATGATGATAATATAACACTTCTAATAAAAATTAACCAATAAATACATGTTAGTCCTTATAGTTAAAATTAATAGGTAATATTTTTAACGTAAGTTAAAGTTTGAAATAGGTTCTATATTTAAAAAAAAAGTTTTTGTTTCATGCTTTTTATATTGATATTTTTTATATAATATTAGCGCAAGTTGTTTATCAGGAACTGTTTTTCCGCGTCTTCGCACGCGTATATTTATAATAGCCTATGTCGACCCGTATTTTAAAAATCGGTCCAGTATTATCGGAGCCTATTAGATGCAAATATAGAAACCAACAATTAAATCTTTCCTCTTAATAATTTTATGGACTAAAAATGCATTTCATAAGCTCCAAAACTGTAGAACCGATTTCTAAAAGCCTTTCATCTACGGGAAGCTACATAAATACATATCATCTAAATATTTCGATGACATCTGATAAAAAGCCTATACTGGTTCGATTTAGATAAAATTTAAATGATCCCATTTCCCTCTTTTCATTAAGCTGTCTGATTCCCTCCATCCATAAGCTGTCGAATAAAAAAATAATTTTGAAAATTGATCAACAATTGTCGGAAACATCGGTGAACATACATATAAAAACATACCTAACATTATATAACCTCCTCCTTTTCTCCTCTGTTTCCTCCAATTATAAATGCGCAAGTATTTGAAGATGGGAATGTATGTTTCATAATTTTTCAAGCAACAACTACTTAACGGATTTTGATGAAATTTAGAATACGAATAACTTTAAGCCTGAATTATCATATAGGCTACTTTTTATTTTATTACACGGCTCTGTCGGAACCACAAGGGCGAAGCCGCTGGCGGAAAGGTAGTAATCAATAAACATCTACAGTGTTATTAATAGACAAGGTTTAACGTTGGAGTAAATTTACGCTGAAACTGCACTTATACGTATTACTACTTAGTATTACTCAAAATCCATATTATTAAACAGAGACTTAACAAAGGTTAACCTAGTACAAGGTACTACGGAAGTAATATTTACTCCTAGAAGGTAGTAAGTAGGTTTGCTTGCTCTCTGTAAATTATGAATTTGGACTAACAATAAAATTGCAAATTTACTCTGACGCTAAAATTTGTTTATTAATAGCACTACTAAGAGTTGTGTGTTAAAAAGAAGTGAAAATGATTCACTAACTTTGTTGACTCATCCATTGATCAGAAAATAAAGAACTAATTTTCAAAATTGTTTAGACTTCTATATATTATTCTTATTTATATTCGCTAAAAAAAGTCGCTCCAGTCGTTGGCCATGCCATAGGATACATTTTATCGATCACAAAAACATTTTTTTATAGTGTTATCGATGTTTCGTTTCATATTACTACGTTGATGTGTAATGAAATGAAATGAAAATATCTTTATTCCAATAAGTTTGTTACAAGCACTTTTGAATCGTCCAAACATTCTTTTTCCTCTACCACTTGTTCAAGATATCTTTTAGCTGACAAGAAGAACAAGCGAAAGAAACTTACTAGCTCTTTATCATAAGTAATGAAATTTTCAAAACCATGTCATTACCAAAATAATATGTATTATCAGTCACAATAATAAACACAACTTTCAAAGGTTGTAAGGTCATAATTTGTAAATATAAATAGTCGTTATAGAACAAAGCGGTCCTTAAAATAATCATCAACTTTATAATAGCCTTTACTCATAAGTATGTTCTTTACATGAATTTTAAACTTATTTATGGGTAGGTCAATTACATTTTGTGGAACTTTATTGAACATAGCAATGCATTTACCCAGAAGTGACCCTCTAGTTTTCTGAAGTCTGAAGCTTGGAACGGCAAGTTTATTTTAATTTCTTGTGTTAAGATTATGAACACTACTTTTTTTTGAGAAGGAATCGTAATGTTTTCTTGCGTACATAATATTTTCATAGATGTATTGATTCAACAGTCAAAATATTTATTTCTTTAAATATTTCTCTGAGAGATTCCCTAGACCGTAAATTATATATAGGGCGGACAGCTCTCTTTTGTAGAATAAAAATATCTTAAATGCTAGTCGCAGAACCCCACAACAATAGACCATAAGTCATTACACTATGAAAATAACTAAAAAATACCAATCTTGCCGTTTCAACATTTGTCAAGAGTCTAATTTTCTTAACAGCAAATGCTACAGAACTCAGTCTACTTGACAAATTATCAATATTAGGATCCCATTGCAGTCGGGAATCTAGTGTAATACCAAGGAACTTTGTCGATTCTACCCACTCAACTTTTTGCCACACATTAGATAATGCAAAGTTTATGCATTTCGTTAAATTTGAATTAAGCTTTAAATTATTATTATCAAACCACTGTAGAACTTTGACGAGAGCATCATTTACATCGTCAAAACAATCATTACCCCTCTTAACTTTAAACACTAAAGAGGTATAATCAGTAAATAACACTGTCTCGCACAAATTCTTCGTAAAGTGAAGAAGATCATTAATGTAAATTAGAAAAAGCAATGGTCCTCATACCGATCCCTGATATACATGCATAGTAATGGGTGCCCCTGCTGATTTCGCTTCATTAATTACTTCTTTTTGCATTTTAGTAGAAAGATATTATTTTATTAGATTAAGTGAATTTTTCCACACACCATAATGGTCTAATTTAACCAACAGTGTTTCATGTCTAACGCTGTCGAATGCTTTTGATAGATCGCAAAAAATGCCGATAACATCTTGTTTATTCTCTCAAGCATCATAGATATGTCTCAGAAGTGCAATTCTAGCGTCTGTGGTAAATTTACCTCTGCTAAAACCAAACTGATTTTTGTGAAGTAATTTATTTAACGAAAAGTGTACAAGCAGTTGACTATAGATAATTTTCTCCAATACTTTACTTAGCGCTGGTAGTATAGATATTGGTCTGAAATTACTGGGATCAGACTTGCCTGCCTTGAAAAGTGGGATTATTTTACCATATTTCATTAAATCAGGAAAAGTCCTTTCATCAATGCATTTATTAAAAATAAAAGTTAATTTAGGCGCTATAGATGGTATTATAGATTTGATAACATAAGTTGAAACGCCCCAAAGGCCTTCGGTTTTTTTGACTTTTGGAAATTGAATGTTTTAATAATTGAGTTATCGTTAATATGTCTAAAATTAAATTCAGTATTGCACTTATCAACAACTGACTCTAGATGAGTAACTGCAAGTCTAGAACATGAACTAAGATTTCTAGTAATTTCTATTGGTGTCTTAGAAAAGAATTTCCCAAATGTATCGGCAACCGCTTTATCTTTTTTTATAACTTTATTGTCAAATAAAGTTATAAAAAAAGATAAAGCGTATGTGCGCATATTACATTTATGTACTTCAGTTAAGATGAACGAACGATAATGAATGGTTATTATGGATTTAATAGCAGTGTCCTAAAGACATCAAAAAAGTAAAATGAACCGTAATATAGTCAAGACATCGGTAAGATGTCGTATCCTACGGCTCGAATTAAGGCTAGAAAGTCACACCCCTGCAGTTCTGTATTCGCTATTTTGTAATTACACCAGCCTCGAACTCGACGTCGAACAGAACGCTGAGTTTAACGCTGATTTTATAACAGAATAGCACTACATTTCTGTCAATTAGGGGAAATACAGCTATACTGAATAATTCTGACAAGCAACATTGATTTAGGTTCTACTTATGCTCTTCTTTAAACAGATCGCTGGCTCAAGGAAACTTGGTCCTCTTGGCAAAACACTAAAGCGATATCCATAAAATAATGATTATGATGGTACACAGATTAAAAAGTGTATTTTGCCAATGGCAAAACGAAACCCTTTAGGTAATGCTGGTCTGAAAATTTTGTACTTTTGAATACTGCGGACATGAACAAACTGTAGGTAAAAGAGGAGAATTTACTAGACAGGCAAGCTCACGGACAAGTCTTTAAATGTGCCTGTTGGACCTCGTTGCCAGTCTGTGTAATGACTCTTACACGAGAAACAGACCTATAGGAGTAGAGTCCGGCGAGCTTGTCAGCAGACTTGTTCGCGTCTTCGTCCGTCCGTTACGAACAAATTTTTTGTGTACTGATTTCAAATTTTCCCTGTATATATAGTGGAAGGGAATTCAAATAGAATAATTAGTATAAAAATTATTATATCATTTTTTATTTACTTAACTCAAAAACAATACCACGTTTGATGTAACTAATATTTTATGATAACAAAACTGCTTTGTGATGTAAAATTTATTTATTTTACATTTAAATATTTTTCATTGTGCTTTGTATTGACATCGATATAAAAGGTGATGAAAATATATAATTAGTGTATTTGACTGTCGACTGAAGAAGTATGGACATCTCAACTATCATGTTCTACGTTAAAATGTGGGCAATCGGCATTTTATTTTATTTAAATGCAGTGCTCTGTAATACTGTCAATAACTTTGTTTATGACAGTAATCCTTCTGTAGCTCTTTTACAGAAGTATATCCAAATAAATACAACAACTTACAACAATTTGGGTAAGTCAATTATAATTAACACTCTATAAGATTAACAAGTTCCCGTTAAGTTTTAACTGTTGTATCGTGATGATTGTACGGGAGAGTAGACAGTGCAGACTTATGGAAATTCTTCTATAAAACATAGAGTTTTAAACCCATCATTATATTTATATAAATTTTTCGACTTTGATTCTGACCCTTCAAAATAACACACTGTCGGCATTTGCTCGATGCCTATTACATGAAAACATACCTATCAACCTTGATGATAAGATAAGAAGATGGGGCAATTGCGGTTAGTTTATTTTTCCATACAAAAATCACGAACACAACTAATAGGCCTTAGTTGTTCCTGCTTGTGTATAATCGTGTATTTAAATCGAGCATAACATGTACATTATACAATATTTAAGGGATAAATAAAATTTAAGCACAAAATATACACAAACATTAATTATTATCTGCATCAAAATTGCCCGAATCTTCTACTTTTTTTCTGTTACTTATGATCTGCAACTATTTCAAATATTTAAATATAGCTTTTACTCTTTAACTGGGTTTATAAGTGGTTAATGCACATTATACAACCTTTAAGGGATAAATAAAAAATAAACACAAAATATACACAAACATTAATTATAATCTGCAACTTTTTTAAAATATTTAAATATAGCTTTTACTCTTTAATTGGTTTGTAAGCAAAATGAAATGCGATATAATATTGTTGTGTTTTTTACTTTTAATTATTTATCCGATGATTTATTTTTACATCTTCTGAAATTAAAAAATATAAACTACAAATCTTAAAATTGAAAATTACAGATAAGGCTGTTACATTTTGGACTAATTTGGCAGCAGCTCAAGGAGTGGAAATAAAAAAATACGTTTACAAACCTAATATGCCGGTATTGGTGCTAAAGTGGCCTGGCACCAATCAGAGCTTGCCCGGCATCATGCTTAACTCGCATATGGACGTAGTGCCAGCGTCGGAACAGGTTATATTCTTAATTAAAATGCTTTCTTAAAATTTTGTCTCAAAGAAAAATAACAATTTAAAACCTTTTTACGTACATACAACGGGAAGCGACTTTGTTTTATGCTATACATATATGGATGATTGATTGAACTTTATAGTAATATAGTAGTTTCCAATTATAGGATGGATGGTTGTATCCTCCTTTTGCTGGTCATATAACGCAAGAACAAGATCGCAAAATCTATGGTCGTGGTACTCAGGACATGAAGTCGGTCTCGATTCAGTATTACGAGGCTTTAAAGAGGCTCAAAGAGAAAAAGATTTCTCTTTTAAGGACAGTATATATGACTCTTATGCCTGGTAAGTAACAAGGATATTTTATTGCTAGGTAAGGTTTCAAATATTGATAATTTCATTATAATAAAATAGTTATATCTCCGCCATTGTATCTAGATTTTTTTTGTGTGTACTTTATTAATTGTATCTAAAGCCCCGCTAAATAGGATGTTTCTACATTTTGCATCAAAATGTAAATGTTAATTTTTTGTTATTATGATTTCATAAATTCTTTTTCGTGTTTCATATTGATCACTTGAAACTATTCTGGGCAGATTTGGGCAATCCGTTCTACATAATGTTCAATTTATTTATGCGTATTTCTATCTACTAAATACATGGGATAAAAAAGTACAATATTTGATAACTTATCCTGTCCTATGTAAGAACAAGTTTGCTGATTTAAAACTATTTTAAAGTTTATCCAAATAATTTTATAAATGAAAGTAAATTTTTAGATGAAGAAGTAGGCGCTGAAGCTGGTATGCTCTCGTTCTTGCCGTCTCAAGAATTCAAAGCCATGAATGTTGGTTTCGAGCTTGATGAGGGTGGTGCTCTGAATGTACCTATGATACCTGTGTTTGTCCAAGATAAAGTGGTCTGGCGTAAGTGATTTCAACAAAGCTTACTGTAAAACTTATGAGCTGAAAATAATGAGGTTAATTCGAATCCAGTCTTCGTTAATTTTGGTGCTGTTTAAGCGCCATGATCACGAAGTAACTCCTGATTTAATAAAATAATAAAATTATCGGGTACTCGATAAATGTAAGTAGGTACATAGTATTTATCTTTTGAATGACAATCATTCTCTCTCTATGAGAGGTGCAGATTCTTTGATATAAAGACAGCTGTGAAGTGATAAAATTTCAGAATATTATATTAAAAGGTACAAAATGATCCATCTTTATTCTTTTTAGAAATACAAGTAGATTGCCACGGCGTTGCTGGACATGGCTCTTCGTTCCAACCCACTAATGCTACAGCGACTGGAAAGGTAAGTTGTGTTATTACGTATTTAGACGAAATTTCACTCTTAAACAGCGCTTCATAACTTTTCAGTAATTACGGACTATTTGATAAGTTTTCATCCTGCTATGGACCAGTCACTTAGTTAAATATGCGGACCTCATGGGATGCTTCCAGTGACTACTAGTGGATCTCCGACTATCTGGACTGCTTTATAAGACCACTACTCATGAACGGACGAATTGAGATGCTTCCAGAGACCACAAGTGTTATTGTAATGTTATATTTTTAAAATACTTACGAATTATTGTTTTATTTGTTATTCTAGTGTCATAATGTAGTGACCAACATGTTCGCGTTTCGGGACGAACAGTATCCTTTATTCGCTAGTGCACCCAGCAATGACTCCAGCGGTTATACATCAGTGAATCTTAATAGAGTATCTGTAAGTATTTTTGAAAAACTGTTACAAGATATTATCATTCGCTTAAACATATCTTTGATGAAAAATGCTAAATAAATCCATCCGTACCAGGTAGCGAGTTAGAACTCGAATCCATAACCTTTTACAATCCGGGCGCTTGTTCTAACCATTGAGCTACCCGAGATCCAACAGGACTGTCTGATTTTTACAATAACTTGTTACATTTGGTACTACTGAGCGTATCTTCAGTGGTGTTATATTAAAGATATTATCAGTATAGCATTATGGATGCAAAATTAATGCAATATAATAAATAAATATACCTACCATTTCAATGACATTTTATATTTAATTGTATTAGAAAACATAAATAATATTTATATCACATATGATTTTTTAGACATACGTATACAGGATTATTTTATCAATGTACAATTACCCCATGGTTTTGTATCGTTAAGAATATAATTATTATAATATAGTAGATAATTAAACAATAGAATTTAAATTCCTAAAATCAATATATCACGTCAACTATTTTTGTCTGAAAAAATTCTGACCTATCACGTGATTTACAGGTATCACATAATATGTAATTTTTCATTGTTTTTTTTAACTGTCACGCCCCAAGCATTCAATACATACCTGAATTATACAAATTGCCGGTAACTTATACATCTGATAAATGTTAAATATTGCTTTAAAATATATGACACTCGAAATTTACCCGCGCTTTGTGTCACGTGGCGCATGCTAGATATATCGGGTGGTTCAATTTTAAGGGCCGATGTTGATTTTGGATAAAACACAAAATTATTTAGGAAATTATTGTCATTTCTGTTTGTTACGATAATATGGTATGGCTCAATTATGTTTGAAACAAAATATCGACCAAATGGCCCCCGCGACCTCAGCGGCACATCTCCATCCGATGGTCCAAATTTTCGAAGAAAATCATCTTCAGTGATGAGGCATTTAAGGCATTTTACCACCCTTTAATTTTATCTTAATTTTATAAAACGGTAATATTTTAACGGTAAAAACTTTAGTGATAAATTTTGTCCGTTTTCTTTCTAGGGCGGAACAGCCAACAATGTGGTACCGAATGTGGTTAGCCTCACGTTCGACATCCGACCGAGTACGAAACTTAATGAAGACAAACTTCAGCAAATGGTATGTGTAGTATAAATATACAAGAATTAAATATTAACCTGTCAAAGGCTGCTAACATTTTTTAAAGAAAAATTGGTTTCTACCTGAATTTTATAATGGAATCCTCGAATCTGGTTACCCCAATAAGTATGTTTCTTACAGTTGGAGGAAATGGTATACTCAGCGGGCGACAATATAACAATCACGTATATCTCAAAGAACCCCCAGAGTCCAGCGACAATGGCCAACTCAACCAACCCCTTCTGGAACGCCATTCAGAGTGCTGCTACTGATCTGTAAGTATTTTATTGAGTTGTTTTGATAGGTGCTAAGTGCTAAACATCATTTTTAGAGTTTGCATGCCTCAAGATGAAGTAATCTATTAGAAAATAAGAAAAAAAAGTGCGCAGCTCTAATATTCCATATATATTTGAAAAAAAAAACGAAAATGCCACTGTGGTAGTTCGTTTTTTACGTCTTTTTATTGTACTAAAGTTTCTATTGATTATAATAAGCACTCACACTTGTTTAAACTGTTTTATAGTATTATTTTATCCTATTAAAACCAATGTTTTTATCTGATTTGAAAATTGCTGATTTAGAAACTTACAATAAGACTATAATTTATTATGAATTTCAATATTTTATTTGTAACATCAAAAAATACTGTTTTTTTTTTATTAATAGTAATAAATTGTATTAGTATATACTTATAGTATTTGGATTCATACAATTAGCTTATGAATTTAATACCGATATCATACGTAGTACTTTTGTAAATATTTGAGGCCGTCAGGGCAAAAGTGGCCTAACCCACAATTTTTCATATTCTTACTTAACTAATGCAATTTATTTAAAACTTAGTATAGTATGATCTAAAAATAAGGATTACATAATAATTTATTAAGTTTCTGTGTGGAACAAAAAGGAGTTTGGACTTACTTTTAGTTTCTTCGATAAACCAGGGTATTAAGCCGCTGGTCGTAAGTCTCCCGCGTTGTTCTGGGATAATTTTGTTATCGTCCTAACTGCCCCTTCACACAGCGTTGATTTTCTATGTATTTGCTGTATACACTTTCGCGCTTCAAGATTTGGTTGGAATGGGACCTTGCGGGATCGACCATTCGCTATGGCGGCGAAGATGCAACAGGCAGCTCTCAGTGACTGTCTGTCTACCCTCGATTATTTTATATTTGTCCAAGTTAGGGAAAGGTAGGTAGGCGGATGAATAAAGTTGTGTCACCATATTCAATACTTTGTTTGTAACGCATTTTGAAATCGAACAGTTTCAAAAACATTGCAATAAATAAATACGAATATATGCATATATATTATGCTTATGTGTGTATATTAGCATAATATTATATATGATGTACGAACTTGCTTGTAGTTTAGTTGTAAGCTTTGTTAATTGTAAGATTATTTCATGTCGCCCTCATGTTTTTCCCAAAGTTGACTGACTGGTAGAGAATGCTATTAACATTAACAAGAATATTATTATGTCCACCTATTTATTCGCCGGAAAATAAAGTTGGATAAATAAATAAATATCATATGAAAAATTGTGGGTTAGGTTACTTTTCCGCTGACAGGCTCATTAAAAATGCCGTCTTTGTAATTCAACTGTATGATAAATAGACGAACAAATCAAATCAAAATAATTTATGCAGTCTTAGCTGTTTCAAGCAATCGTGAAAGTCGATACTTTATGCCGTCGGTTCGTAAATCTACGGCGGGAGACCTTGGACCGAGAAGAACCGGGAAGTGACTCAGCAAGGGCTGATTAGACAAACACAGGAATGAATTTATAACGGTTCCGTTTTTGCTGCTTGAGTTCTACTATGATATTGATAATTAATTCGTACAAATTTAATCAATTAACTTGTCATCTGAAGGCCTCTTCTATTTGTATTCCTCCTGCTTCAACGAACATTTTGAATCGTTTTTATAATTCTGTTATAATGTTGTCGATGAAGATCATCTGTATCTATAGAACTGCAGAAAAAAAGTGTAAAAATGAGATCTTCAGGTGTCATGTTAATTCGTACAAGTAGTAAGTAGGTATAAGGGTTTTATATAGTTCGTAATTTTTTCAGAAATATAACTTTAGTAACGGCAGTGCCGCCGGGATCCACGGATGCTCGTCACGTGCGTTTAGCTGGCGTTCCAGCATTTGGAATGGCACCACAACGGAACACACCAACCCTGCTACATGCCGTCAATGAGTACCTCGGCGTCAATACATTCTTAAGCGGAATCGATTTTTACGAGAAAGTGATTAAAAATATGGCTAGTGTACCTGCCAATCTAGCTCGAAATCCCAGTTCATACTTGTATAATACCACAATAGGATAAAAAATATTTATGTATGTAAAATATTTATTTATATAATAAAACTGTTTTGTTTTCTTTTATTTGTCTTTTACTGGCCTGTTATTCTGTAACTTTGGCAACTTCTGAGGACAACTAAAAGAAATTGTTCACAGAGCTCTGTGTCCAAGCAGTATATATTTTAAATTTTACGAAATAACAGTTTATGGATGCAAAATCAAGTGTTTAAATGGAGTTCAATGGAGATCGCCGATATAGTAGGGGAGCCCACGATGCTAAATCGGGATTTACTCGAGCGTCATAGAGACCTATTGGGTTGCGAAGCTTAGATGATAACAAAAAAAAATTTCATATAATATATACCTTTTCATCGGTGGGGGAAGCGGCTATAGATTTTTAAAAATGTAAAAAAAAAACTGTTTTATGGAAATACTCGAGCGCGTCAGATATTAATATCATCCATGTCCTACGCATTTTTAAAAACTGTCGTATGTTAATCTGATCGTTTCCATGATGGGGGTGGTTATACGTAAGGGTTGAAAATGAAAAAAGAAATTAATCGAGCGCGTCAGATTTTTTGAGGGGATGTCAAGTGAACCTAAAAAAAAGCTCTCATATAGTAATCTGACGATTTGGATGTGACGCAAACGCGTGACCATTATTAGAATGTGCAAAAAAAATCGCCATTTTGAAATACTCAAGCGCATCAGATTATGATATATATGGTTCATCTTTATGCCCCAGACGTGATATCTCATAATCTGACGATTATCTGAAGAGCTTTACTTAAACTGACACAATTTTTTATTTAATTTTTTCAAATCATTGAGCTTAATTAAATAGAAAAGCACCGGAGTTAGCATGCAAATAAAAAAGTGTATGTTTTTTTAATGTAAAATATTTGTATTTATAAGAAAAGGATTATATGAAAATTTAATTTTTACAGTATTTTTTATTAATTATCATCTTCCTCTTCTTCTCTTAGTAAATATGTAAAAAGATTAATTCACAAAATTTACATTAAAATAACAAAATAAGCAAAAACGTTCGAAATACGATATTAACAATATCACGCCACGAACGAGTCTGTGTCATCAGCTGTCATGGCGTCATGACAACCGAAACCAGAGTGGGGACGGAGTGAGAGAGTAATAGATAGAAAGAGAGAGAGAGAAATAGTGACGCAGAGAAGGAAATAAAGGTATCACGTAGCTTAAACGCATTAAATCTTATCGATGAATTTTTACTACTTCGGCTTGTGACAATCGTCAGATTATATATATTTCGTAATCCTTGAATGATTCCCTTCAAAATGAAAAAAAATTAGCCATGCTCGAGAATGTTTAAGTGACGTTTTTTTTACAACTTTGTAGCCTTCCCCCTTCTTTACGTCACTCTCAAATTGTCAGATAAGAGGTATGTACACATTTTAGCATGTTACCAGCTCACCTTACCTTAATCTGACGCGCTCGAGATTTTCAGACGATCAATTTTTTTCCAGGCAATCGAAGATTCGAGTTGCTCTCCGCTGAATGCGGTCTAGAGGGAGAAGTTGGTATTGGGGTGCCCTTGCCCAAAGATGAGAACAGTAGTCCATATGGGGCTGAACTTGCGCCATGTAAAGCTGCAGGCGATGTGCTGGAGTGAAATACTGCCTCGATCTATTAAGCACACCAAGCTTCTTAGATGCTAATTTAGCCTTACCCGCTAAGTGACCACGGAACTGGACCTCGCTCGATATGTCGACACCAAGAATCTCAATAGGCAGTTAGGGGAATGTATTATATATGCTTATGATATTAGGTCCTTATATATGAAATTGGCGTTTTGTCTTACTGGCCACTTTAATCACAAATTTCTTCTCCTTGGTTGGAAATTCCAAATTCAAATCTTTTTTTTTCATCCAATCCAATTCTTTTTTTTTCTTCTGTTTGTTCTATTTACGTCACCCAGTATAAAAAATGGAAAACTTAAAATATCGTGTTATTTACGAGTACGAGTTCCACCGTGGTACCACTTCTGCGGAAACGGCTCGAAGGGTTTTTGGTTCCAACGTTTTCGTTCTGGAAATTTCGACCTGCAGAACAAGCCCCGTGGACGGCCGGAGACCCAAGTAAATGATGAAGAATTGAAGGCTATTGTGGAGCGGATCCATCGCAAACCACGCCCGAGTTAGCTGCAGGCTGCGGTGTTGGTGATAAAACTGTTTTAATTCACTTGAAGCAAATTGAAAAGATAAAAAGCTTGAAAGGTGGGTATCTCACGAATTGAGTGAAGTAAACCGGTAAACACGCTTCGACTGCTGCGTTACATTACTTAACCGGCACAATAATGAAGGGTTTTTAAATCGAATCATTACCTGTGATGAAAAGTGGATTCTCTACGATAATCTGAAGCGCTCATTGCTATGGTTGGACCCTGGCATGCCAGCCAAATCCTGCCCCAAGCGAAAATTTACCAAAAAAAGTTACTTGTAAGCGTCTGGTGGATTAGTGCCGATGTCGCCAGACGTCTAATGTCAGCAATTGCAAACCATGCTGGAAAAACTAGCTGTTAAACAACCGAGGCAGGTCAATCGCTCTACGCCACTGCTACTTCACGACAACGCTAGACCACACACTGCACAATAGACGGCTACCAAATTAGAAGAGCTTGGAATGTCTAAGACGTCCACCGTACTCCTCGGACCTTGCTCCAACAGATTACCATTTTTTTTCGAAATTTGGATAACTTCTTGCAAGGAAAATAATTTAACTCCGATGGAGCAGTGCAAATCGCCTACAAAGATTTTATTGATTCCCGTCCGAATAGTTTTTTTAGTGAGAGGATCAATGAACTACCTATGAGATGGCAAAAGTGCACAGATAACAATTGTTTATACTTTGCTTTACTTTTCTTTCAATATTATATATTATATTAAAAAATATTCGACTTTTTGTTTCTCCCATACCAAACACCAATTTCACATGTAAGGACCTAGTATACTGGGAGGAACAAAATGACCGACACAGCCGAAAGTTTCAAGTTAGGTTACATGCAAACGTTCATTTTATTTGACAAATATTTAAAAATAGACGAGGTGTAAAAATGGAGTAAAAATTTTAAATTTCTGAGTGTTAGTAGCCCTATAACGCGCATGCGCAATATATATTGTGTGCAATTACAACGAACCGCGAAAGACATTAATTTAATTTAATTATTTACCGATATCTTAATGATAGTCGATGCTGAAAATGTCCATTTCCTCTCTGAAGACTGGGCTAAGCACGCTCTTTTCAATGCCGGTGCCGGTTATGCACGCGCAAAACACGTCACATTTCACACAAAACTAAGCACAATCTTCACTAAACTAAACTTAACACTCAAGACGAACACTCTAGTATCTTATTAACAAAAATTCAATTAAAAATGCACTAGAACAAAACAAAAATCGATCAAAAAAGACGCTTCGCAGCGGTGCGTCGGGGGCGATGCGCAACAACACTCCAGCGCAAAAGGTCGACGGCGACTGATCGGCCGGAAAATATCGACAGAATAATGAAGCCGCCTGGCGGCTGGCGGGCGGGTGGGGCTTTGATATCGAGGGGCGAACTCGGTTCACATTTTTCTTTCGTCTTTTGATATCACGCATTTTTAAATGTTCTTTTTAAATGCTATTTTAATAACAAATTCCTCAATGATTTTAAAACAAAGTTCATTTGTGTTAATGATGAATCGCTGGAAGATTTGTGAGTTTATCGAGTTTAATTAACGATCCCGTTGTTAAAGGTGTATTACCACATTCAAACAATTTTTTTTGGAGAATTGCTCTTTAAAAATAATGTAGGTTAATGTTAGACTGATCTCTATACATACAACAATAATTTGGGAAATTTTACACTCGGTTTCTTAATTGAGAATTTAAAGTTAAACGTCTCAAAGTAACATCACTTAGTTCTCGTTTCCGATTTTAGTTTTTTGATGATCAGTTGATAGCAGTTTGATAAAACTAGGACTATTTGACTTGTGAAATTAAAAAAAACTTAGGTAATTGATTATAAGCAGTAGAAATTTTCTACTTTTTTCAAATCAGAAACCGGCTGTTAGTCTGTAAATCGATTTAAGCATTTTGACTGCCTTGTTTATTGATTGTCTGGTAGAATTTGCATGTAAGCAGTCTTATAAATCACAAACTAGTTTATTTCGTTTTTAGAAATGAAGAAGTCAATGACCGATTTAAAACTTTTCCTTAGTACGTCCCAAAAACAGCTGACTCAGGGTTGAAAACACTCATTTTTTTTCAAAAACTTTGTAATTTAATATCTCCGAAACTATTTGACCTAGGTCAAATAGTTTCGGAGATATTTCGGAGATTTATATATAAGTCTAGACTTATAATTTTTTTTACATCATATTAAAGACAAATAGTACTCTCCAGGAACCTCGGGAGAGTCGGTCGTACTGTTTCACCGAGTATGAAAATGCACAACATCAGAGTTTCAAAATAATTATAATTATAATCTCGCGAGATTGGGACTTGGGCGAGATCTCGCGAGCTTAAGATTATCAATCTCAATGATTATTATTGACATTTTTGTGTGTTTTTTACCTTAATATTTATTCAAATCACAATATTTGAATAAATTAGGAAAAGATATAGGTATTATGAAATAAACATTTATTTTTACAGGTATTTTCAACAAAGTTTTATGTATTTAAAATTGTTTGACGCAATTATATTTTTTATCTAAAACTTTTATTACAATTACTATATTAATCTCAGAAACAGCTCCAACAATTTTCGTGACATTAAGTATGCAGGGGCTTTCAGATGCGATAATTCGATTCAATAGGTTATAATTTTTTTTATTTAATAAAAGTGCTAAGTAAAGCTTAGTCATCCAGGTACTAATCTTTTAAGAAACTAAACTTCGACGTATCTAATCAAATACGAAATGAAATAAAAAACCAGTCTTCTCTGCTAATATCAAACAAAAGTTTAATTATAATACACAGTTTTTTATAACAAAAATACAAAAACTTAATTAAAACTCATTGACTAAGTTGAATTAACTATTAAACTGAGATTATTATCAATGAA